TGCTTTTCTTTAAGATCCAAGCCTTTCATGGCAATCTGGTCTGAATTAGACCAGGCTGAGCTGCTAAAAGCAAAGTAAACGACCTTACATCAAAGCTGTCTTGCTAACTAACTACTTTACTTCCACACTTCTCCAGTGGAAGTGGAACTGCCACTCAGTAGCTAAAATTGCCTTATGAAAGCATTTCATCAGGTTCTGCATTTGCCTGTGGCAATAGTTCGTGCTTCAGAAGCGTCTGCTGCACGATTCGTGTGTGTGTGCAATGCTGTACACAGGAGTAGGAAATGACAGGTATTATTCCTAGCCCCACTGATCAATTCTCAGTCTGTCAGAGTAATATTTTATTATCCCCCTCGTTAAGTTGTCAAACTATATGTAATAGTAAGGTGGGGTTTTTTTTCTTCTTGCTTTGTACACAACAATAATTGATTCCATCCTTTCATTGCCTTGGGCTAGACCAAAAGGCTGTATATGACAGATATTTCCTTTTATTTTTCTACTCTCATCTACCAATAACTCAACATAGCAACACTTTTTTTTTTTTTTTAATGAGTGGGCAGAATGAAAAGTCTTTTTTTTTTTTTTGAAACTTACATTGTCCTTAGTATTTGAGTTAGGATCAATCAATAACTTCTTTCCAAGCTAGTTAACACACTTAACACCAGGACACACTCCTTGTGTCCCAAATCACCTCCGAGATGAGTTGACTGCAACTGCAAGCTGGTCTTCTCCAAAGAAGACCAAAGTGTTCGGAGCAGTATGTGTAACAGCAGAGGAATGGGGGCTGGGAGGAACCTTGTGGGGTCAGCCTGTCCTAAGGAAAGCTCAGCTTTGCTCACTACTTCTTGCAGATGTGCCCAACCTCTGCTAGCCCCTCCAGGGACACAGCCTCCACTCTGCACCATCTGCTTGGTACACAATTACCCCTTACCGCAGGGCAATTTTTTCTAGGGGCTAATGTAAAAATCTTCTTTAGAGTTTCTTTCCTCATTTTAAAAAAAGTTAAGGGAAGAACAAAGGTGAGAGAAAGTGTGCCACTGCCAAACACCTCCACCGAGTTACACAGGAGTACTTGAAGTTTGTTTTTCCTTCTGAAGTTATTTGAAAGCTAAGGGCCCATTACTGCTCCCATTCCTGAAGTAGTACTGGTCTGTCTGGAAATCCCATTTCACACAGTCCTCAGGTCCATGTGGGAAATTTTATGTAGTCCTCTTGTTCATCCAGGGTTTTTCTTCCTGGTAACCTCAGCTGCTCCGCTGAGCTGCAGAAATCCCTGTTCTGCAGAGTGCCAAAAAAGGCTGGAAATGCCAGGATGCTCCATGGGCGTACGTGCTACCTCCACAGCATAAAAACTGGCAAAGTCCCCCAAGCCCAGCCTGCTGGCACTTTGAAGGGACTGTGCAGCAGGGTATAACACATTCACAGCTCAGCCCCTGTCAACCCTCACACTTTTGAAGGGGGTCAAGGGGGTCAGGGGACGCTGTGCACCCAGAAGAAGTGATCCAGGGCACTTCACGCCTCGCTTCGACCCCACGGCTCTCCTACAACTGCAGGGATGCTGCCCGAGGAGCCGTGCGTGTGTGCAGGAGCAGGGGCTGTTTGCTCCTTGCACCTGGCTGCCCTGACAACACAACACCACGTGCCCACACACGGCATTGCTAGGGGATGCTCCCCTAAATATTTACTCTGAACCCCTGGAGCTGTTGAGAGATTGAATGGGCTTTGGAAACTATAATCTTCTGTGCCTTTGTTACGGATAAAAAGATGTTGAGGTAATTAGCCTGAGCACAAAAAAAAGTGGTCTTTTTCCCTTCCCCATAGATTTGCTCATTAATCCTCCTTGCCGTCACATTTTCCTGTCCTTGTTTCTTTCTCTTATATGTCATTATTTTCTCCCTTCTCTTTCACTTCTCCTTTGTCCTTTCTTAGTTTCCAAGCATCATTACTGTATTTAGCTATGAATAAACTGTAGTTGTTCCCAGTCAATCACAAACACCACCCTCCACATATCCATGCCTCAACAGAGCCTTCCCCTGCAAGCCAGGCAGATGGCAAAGTCAGCCCCTTCTCCTGATGGTCTCCTCGGTGCCTGTGAGTGACCACTGCTGTTCCAAGCACTCAGGTTTTTGCTGGGCAATCCCAAAATGGAAAACCACAGCTAAGGTTTACAAAAACTGAGTCTACAATCTCATTCCAGCTTTGGATTTCTTTTTCCAGCTGTGTCTGTTGCCCCACTCACATACGTATGGAGACTTCACCTCTCTTCCCATCTGCCCCTTTGGGGACAGGAGGGAATGTAACAAGGCACCAACAAGGAGCAGAGAAGTGACAAAACAATTAGATATTCTTCCCTTCTGAGATTCCTTTCTTTAATCCTGTCTCAACTGGAAAACTGGGGAGAAAAGAAAATGTGATGGAATGGGAACATACCCCAACTTCTCAGATGAGAAGCAAAGAAAATGCAAACAATAGCACTATTTGTTATTCCAAATTTAAAAATAAATATAAAATGAAAAAATTTTTGTTATAACCTCACCTCTTCTGTGTGACATACCCTGGTTCTGTAAGTGTTGGTTTGGGTCCAAATGACTGCTCTTACAAACAAAAAGCCATCTTACCCAGGTCAAACCTGTTCCCCAGTGTTCAAAACTGCTTTTCTTTCTCTCCCCACAGCTTAATGGCGGGAATCCTTGCAGGGATGCTGGCTAAACATGACACAGATACCTGCATCCGGATGGGTCTTCTTGCTGCAAGCTTGTCTCTCCGTTCCTTCGAGCCCATTTCCCCAGAAATTAGCACTGCCAGCGTCAGCCAGGAGCAAGTCAAGAGCAGGAGCTGGCCAGAGGTAAAGGTATGGAAGATGGACTAGAGGACCATGGCTTTCTCAGCCATCACCTCCTTGCACTCCCAGCATTGCTATTTCCAGAAACTGGCTGAGTTTTGAGCTTTGAGCTCAAAAGCTGGCTGCTGACCAGAGGACTCAGACTTTCTTTGCACGCTACCTTTTGGGAGCTGAATTGTCGATGGAGTGCATTTGGTGACAACTTGTATTGCACTGCTCACACTCATGTTTGTCTGCTGTTGTTTCCTCTTCCTTTTTTCTTTTTAATCAGTTACAGCAACCACAGCTTGGTTCTACTGTCAACTGCCTGTTTTCAGAGCACGGCATGCTGGCACCAAAATATTCTATCACACCTTTGCTTCCCTCCAGAACAATAAATCTCCTGGTGCCGTCACAGAAACTCAGGATAATGATGGTTTCTGGGGAGGAGGGGAAGCACAGTCCTTGTTTACAGGTGGACTTGCAAGATTTATAGCTCAAATGACTCTAAAAGCAGGAATAGAGCAGAGCTTCCTTGACCCTCTCCAGGCTAGAGCTGCACAGTTATTCCTCTGCCTTTAACCCCTCCAGCATCTTTATTAGCAAGGACGTCTGCACTTAGATCAATTTTATATGAGCTAAGTCTACTCCACAGCCCTTTGGCAATTAGCTAAGGTAGCCAGCTTGGCTATGGAAATCAGCTTCTCACTCTTCTGTTGTGTGACTTACCTCCCAGAGAGAGCTCCTCTAGATGTCTTCCAGCCCCAGAGCCACTGAATTCAAGGGTAGAAAGACACCAGCTGGGGCTCTGTTTTTGAAGGACCATCGGTGGCTGAAAGGGGAGTAACAGGGGATGGCAGTGGGCCGTGTGGGTCTCATGGGGGGATGCTTGCTGGCTCAAGCCTGCTGAGCCATTCCCACATCCAAGGTGGGAAGGATGGTGACCACAGAAACTCATGTGAACTGGTCCACAGGGGAATGCCCACCATGCAACTGCAGATGCCAAGGTGATGCCTGGGGGAGGGCAGGATAGAATGGAAGATCCTACATAGGCTTCAGGTGCAGCATATGCCAAGGTGATGTGTCTGGGGGAGGGCAGGATGGGATAGAAGCTCTTACATAGGCTTCAGGTGCAGCACCTGCAAAACAGCTCCCTCTCCCTTACAGCTGCTGCCACTGATTGCAGTGTCCAGCTTCATCCTTACAACAGCTGTGTGTGAAAACACCTGTGTTTTGGCAGTACACCTTTTCTGTCTGTACAGAAAACAATAGCAACAGGTGTGTAGAAATCAGCTCTCTGGTCTCCTGCATGGTCTTCTGCCCTCCTTTTGCTCACACCCAGGGGAGCAGGCTGACAGCTCTGCAGAAGAGCCTGCTGTGGTGGGTAGTTTTTCCTTTTTAAGTTATGGTGGGACAAGGGGGAACTGTCGCACTACACCCTCTAGAGTCTTTCTTCCCACCAGGAGGCTGCAGAGCAGCAGGCAGGACCAGAGACACCTCTTCACACTGGAATCCTGGCCAGGGCCAGAGGCGGTGGAGGCTGCGGTGGTGTGACTGCTGCCCCGTCCTGCCCAGCTCTTTAATTCAGAGCTATCTTCTGGCTGGAAGTGGTAATTGCATCCTACCCAAACGCTGCCTCTGAAGCCATGAATGAGAAATGAGCTCCCACTAAAACAGATGGAGCGGTTCACTGGGTGTCTTCCCTACACCCAGACCACCTTCACCAGGCTCGTGGCAGCTCATCCCCTCTGACCCTGCTGCCTTTATGTCAGATTTGGCAAAAGCTGAGGGGTGAGCTGGAGAACGGACAGAGCTTCATCGCACCAGCGCTACCTCCTTCAGAAACTATGAAAAATCAACGGCTGCCTTTTTAGAGGCTGCTTTGATCCTCTCTCCCACCCACCCACATTTACTGGCACCCCCTCTTTACTGAGACCTTACTTGCAAGTGCTGTTCAGCTAAAAGACTCTGTGCTCGCAAGTGGGAGATGGCACACACGTACCCATCACCGAGCAGGGATGGGGTGGCCGTGGCAGGAGGGTGCTGGGGCCTTTGGGAGCGCAAGGGAGGGGACGGGGCCCAGGCAAGCAGCCGGGTTTGCTCGTGTGCGGGGAGGTGGGACACAGCAGGGGCGGGGGAAAAGGGCTGTGCCCCCGGGGTAGGACCCTGTGCTATAAAAATGACTTCAACCGCATCCAGCGGTAGGAAAGAGAGGCACCTTCCACCTCTGCTCCTGCCTCCAGCAGCGTTGTCCGGGGAGGAGGACCCTGAGCAGAGCCAGACCCTGAGGATGAAGGTCCAGGTGCTGTCTGTCACTGCGCTCCTCCTGGTGCTGCTCTCTTCAGCCCCAGCACCATCTGAGGCACTGGGGGGCCACACCAGCACCCTGAAGAGGCAGCTAGGAGCTGAGGGCCATGGAGAAGACCCTCGGGCGCTTGGAGATGGAGGGGACAACCTGCCCAGGCAGGGCTTGGTGGGGAGCCACCCCCTGGCTGGTGCATGGGAGGTGATGGGAGAGATGTCTCCCAGCTCCGGGTCCCCCAGCAAGGCCTTGGCCAAGCCCTCACCGGGCAGCAGCGAGCCCCAACCCCTTGGCAAGCTCCGGAGACACCCACGGCAGCCCTCCCGCAGCAGGAGCCCGGGGCTGAGCCATCACCTGAAGGGTCACGGGAGGTTCAACGGGGACACGGTAAGCACAACCCGCCCCGGGACAGCGAGGATGGGGGTTTGCAGGGACAGCGGGAGGGAGGGGAGGTGCTGGCTCACGACCCCAAGGCTGGGCAGCTCAGCGAGCCCCTTTGGCTGACCTGTCTGCAGGGCACGGAGGGACCACACAGAATAGTGTTACGAGGACCTAATGAAGAGGATGGGGCCAAAGAAACAGGCCCTTGTTATAAGAGGGGGCCAGCAGCAGCTCTGGCAGGTCTGAGCCACACAGAGACACCAAAACCGGGCAGGACAGCCCCAAAATGCGCTGCAACGCAGGGACAGGAGAGCATCCTCCTGGCACAGCCCCATGCCCTGAGCTCCCAGCAGTTTTGCCACCCAAACTCTTGCAGTTTGTTGGGCTCCCCGGCCACAGCAGGTAGCCAAGGCTGGGGAGAGCAGGGCTGGAGTGGCACCTGCCCTCCAGGCAGCGGGGTCCTGCACCCACGCTGTGACCCATGGGCTGCCCTCACGTTGGTGGGACCTGCCCAAGCAGCTCAGCCAGCCCCCCAGCTTCAAAACTGGGTGTCCCCCACACACCTGAGCCCCAGCATCCCCACACAGAGCCTCGCTGCCTGGCAGTCCCCGCGGGGACATAAAAAGCAGCTGGGCCTGAGGACAGCAGGAGCAGGTGCTGAGCGTGCCCCGTCCCTGCAAACATTGGGTAGAAAAGCCACTTTTGGGCCATTCCTCATGAGCCAAGTGTGAAAGCGCCGGCCACAACACGGCCTCACAGCACTGTTTGCCTCGTGGTGGGTGCAGAAAAGGGTGGTGGGCAGTGACAACCCTACACCCCTCCTGGCACCTGGAGAGGCTTGGAGCAGAACCGATGGCCATGCATGCAGGTGGTGACCACATCAGGAGGTGAGCACAGGCCTTGTCCCAAAATGCTGTGCCCAGGAGGTGGGCTGGGGGCACCCACCTGTGCCACGCAGGTGGCAGCACTTCTGCCACGGGGGCCAGCCCCTTAACGTGCTTCCTGCAGTAACGAGCTGCCCCTGAAGCTGCTTCCTCGGGCCTCAACTTCTCCAGCTCCTTGCACGAAGCTGCTGCTCTCTAGCCTGATGAGCAGCCTGTCCCGTTATTGCAGGTTTACTGGTTTAAATGGAAACCAAACATCCAGCAGCAAACACCCATCCCAGTGTATCTCATCCTCTTCTGCAACTTGGTGTTGCTTTCCCTTGAGAGCCTCTCCAGCCTCCCCATCTAAAGGAGGTGAAGAGGCTCTTTTGAGCTCCTCTCCCCCTGAGACATCACACTGCTGTCAGCTCGAGTGTGCTGGAGCCCACAGCAAGCGTGGGCCCAGGGGCTGAGCAGTTCACGTCACCCCAAAATGACTGACTGACCAGCTGTGGGGCACGCACGCCCCGAAAGGAAACCTTCTGCCTTGAGGAGAGGCTGCTCTCAGGCGGCCTGAGCTTCTGCAGAAAGAATCTCCCTGAGAATCTGTCCCTGGGGGCTCTCAGCAGCATGAGCAGAGAGCGGTGACACGGCTGTGACAGGGAGGGGGTCCCAGGCCAGGGCTGGGCAAAGCTGGTCACGACCACCTCTCTCCCTTCCCTGCAGCACTCCTGCCACAGCATCCACTCCCGGCCCTGCCAGAAGCCCTCCGACTGCGGCGGCTGCCTGGGGCTCTACACCTGCAGGCTGCTGGCGGGTACCTGCCACCTGAAAGCCGTCTCCAGGCAGAGAGGTGGGTAGGCTGGAACCCACACACGCAGCTGCCCTTCGGCTACCCCCCCCCCCCACCCAAATCTGACCCCTACGGGGTCTCATCCCCTAAACTCAGGTACACAGAGCTCTGTCCTGCCGGCACTGGCCACCAGAGGTGATGAACGGACAACTGTACGGTGAAAGGGACATTCCAAGAAATATCTGTAAGAGCTGGGATTTGCCCGGCCCCCTGAGCCCTTGGGGAAGCCAAGGAGGGAAACGGGGCTCAGTGGCTTGGGAGTCAACAAGCTTGGCTCTCCTGGGGATTGTGGGCTCCCAGCCCCACAGAGCTGCTCACATCAGAGTGCACCAGCTGCTTAATTAACCAGGGACTCTGCTTATTTAACACAGGGAGCAGAGATCGGGGCTTTTAACATTGAACTGAGCAGAGCGAGTGTCCCAGTTCCCCAGTACCCCTCAGTGTATCCATGCCCATGCCCTCTTGCCCTTAGCACCCACATACACCTGGTCATGGAGGAGAAACTCATCCAAGGCTTCTGAGCACCCAGACACCAGCTCTGGTGCAGGAAACCCTTGGATGGGGGACATAGAGTAGGCAAGTATAACGTTCCAGGTATATAGTTTATATATATATATATCGTGTGTGTTTATAATATATAGGGCTCTGTTCACAGAGTCTTCTCCAGGCATCTGCTGTTGGCAGCCTCCACAGGAGGGCACATGGACCCGTGGTCAGACCGGTCTTATGGCTTCTTTTCACAGGTGGGTTCCTCCAAAGCATCTAGAACCTGGAGAGGCGCAGGGTCCTGCTCAACCCGCAGCAACACGGCTCGACGTAAAGCTGGGGAGGCTGTCCTGCAGCTGGAGACCAGCACGCTCTGTCCGAGTTTCATTTTAAATACTTAATGACACAGCTGTAAATGTTTCTTTCACTGCACTTCTCATGCTGCCGGCTTTTAATACCCTCCCTGGATTTTGTAGGCTTGATTCCCGCTTTCCTGAGAGCTGCCAGCGAAAGCTCTGAGCAGCCTCAGAGCCAAGTGATGGCAGAGCCCACTTGGAGACCCCTTGATGAGACAAATGGGGCTATTTCACAACCCGTTTTGATTTGAGCGAGCAGGATGTTGCAGTAAGAGCTGCCAGCACCTCAGCACGCTCACACACGAGTGCACGCTGAGCTGAGGAGCCTGTCGGCATGGGGCACCCCAGGGAACCCGCCCAGCTCCTCACCACGGCTCCCACCGAGGAGGGCCAAGTCCCACACTGCTGACAACATCGCTTGAGAAGGGGAATGCAGAGCCCTGGCTTGGTGGTGGGGGACCACGTGGGACACCTGCTGCTGGAGGCCTGAGCTGAGCCACAAGATCAGGTTCATTCGGCACCCCACAGAGCTCTGCAGGCAGCCCGGCTGCCTTCGCGTGTGTGGGTGCATCCTGGCTTTGCACAACCCTGTTTTGCTACCATTAAAACACTTCTTAAAATGCAAACCAAAACACAGCTTTTGATTCACCCTGAACTCCACCGCAGTTTCCTTTGGTGGGCCACCACCTCCTGTGACAGACGGGGCTTTAAGTGGTGCCAATTTTGCTTGGGGTACCCAAGGGGCCCCCTGGTCACCCCTGCTGGGAGCCTGACCCTGGGGAGGTGGGGATAAATGCCACCGGCTTCTCTGCCCCCCATCACTGCTTCAGCTGTCCCCACACACGAGTTGAGGAGTGTAGAGGTGCAGGTGCTGCCTTCCTGCTCATGCCCAACGTGGCACTACTGCTGTCCTTCATTTATGGTGCTCACCATAGAGCCACAGAGCGGTTGAGGTAGGACGGGACCTCTGGAGGTCATCTGGGCCAACCCCCTGCTCAAGCAGGGCCACCTAGAGCCATTTGCCCAGCTTATCTGGTGCCCAGATAGTGCCACGTGTCACAGCCAGAACAAACCCCATTACACTGGGAGCTGGCAAAGCATCACCTCCAAGCACTCACCTCTCCACCCTCCCAGCTGCCACCTCCTGCCACCACCCATCTCAACCCATTTCCTCTGCTGCTGCTGTAGGAAACTTTGGGGATACAGGTTTCAAAAGATTCCCAGAGCAGTGCTGGACCCACAGCTCCCCCTCTGACATCGAGCAGAGGTGAGCTCCTCTGAACCCCGCTGCTGGTCAACAAGGTCCTCTCGCCGGGGAAAGCCCCACTGGCCACTGGCTACCTCTGGCAGCCCTGGGTAGTCCAGCGTGGCACGGCTGCCCGCAGCAAACGTACCCGCACGCAGCTCATACCCTGCAGCCCCCCAGGAGCTGGGGAAGAGACTTCCCTTTGGGCCACAGGACTTCACTTTGCTGCCCTCTGGCTTCCTCTCTGAAGAGCAGAGACCCAAGGATGCTCCAGCTGCTCTTGACTCTGCCCTCGCAAGTGGGACAGGGGAAACAGCTTTTGCACCAGCTGGAAAAGAGCCCTCACCCCCCCTCAACCTCCTTGTGCCTCCCCTGACACCTCCCCACCTCTCCTCCCCACCAAGAAAGGCAGAGGAGAGCCGAGCAGGAAGGGAACAATGGCAGGTCCTACCTCCTCCCCACCCAGGAGCTCCAAAGGCAGCAGCAGGCATGCTCCCCTTGCCTGCTTCCTACTGCACCCCTGGCAGCAACACCTGAGATGGGAGACGAGAGCCCATCTCACCTTCAAGACCCAGGTTCCTCTTCGGGCTTGTCCTGCAAGCAGCCAGGCAAGGGAACGAGGCCACCTGAGCTGCAAGGCTCACAGGGAAGCCAAGGACTTTGGCCAAACCAATGGCTCAGCTGCTAAATGTCCTCTCCAGCCGGTGGGCAGACACAGCTCACCCCCTTCCCCAAAACACCAAGGGTCCGCATGACTTTTACACCACTCGCTTTTAATTACACTGCGTAAGGAAAGGTCTCTCCTGGTGCCAGGACCCCCTGGCACAGCCACCCGGGGAGCTGACGGGCCCATCGAGTCCTCAGTAGGTTTAGTGGTTCCCCCTCACCCCTCTCCCTCGCTCGGAAGCACCTCCTGGGTCAGTCCACATGGTCCCTGCAGCCCTCAGCGTCCTCGCTTCGCAGAGACCTGTTTCCATACATCTCTGTTCCTCCCCTCCTCCGTGCCCGAGCTTTGCCTTCTCCATCCCGTGCGAGTCCCACTTCGGCCTCCCATGGCACCAGGTGGAGAGGGGACAAGGGCAAGAGTCTCATCGGTTAATAATTGTTCTAACCCCAAATATAAATAGAAAAAAATACAACAAAACGAAGAATGGACTAGCTAAGAGATCCGATCCGCTGGGATGCCTGCAACGTGCTAGTGCAGAGAGTTCAGAGAGTGCTTGGTCCAGTGCATGGTACTGTAGATATCCAGAAACCTGTCCCGGCAGCCCCGCGGCCACCAGCTCTTCCTGCGGCACCACGCGGCCGTGCCCGAGGCTGCTGGCTCCTGGGAGCAGGCCCCAGGGGAACGGTTGATAATAGTCTGGTTGGTTGCTGGTAAATGGGAAAGCCATTCTCTTCCGTGGAACGGGGACGTGCTTCGCTCTTACTTTTTGTGGAGGAATTTCATTTTGCTGCCTGGAGAGACAGAGAGAGGGAAATGGACTCCCCACAGCAACAGGCAAACCAGGCGTCGCTCTCCCCACCACCACCAGCCAAGGAAGCCTATGTAGATAATCCCCCCTGCCACCAGTCCCGGGTCCTTATCCACCTACCCCTGACCTGCAAAGCTCAAGTAGGTGCCTGCAGAGCAGGTCATAGCTCTGCCCACCCCTGGGAGCAGAGCTACAGGCTGGGACCCTGCAACCCCCCAGGCACACGTCCCAGAGCCCAGTAGCCCAGCGTTACTGGAAGGTGAACGTATTACTGGTCTCCCCCGGGCAGAGCGTGTGTGGGTAAGAGGCAGGGCACACCGGCCTCACAGACACTGCTGCTCTTAAACCACCATGAAAAGACAAGAGGGCTGGGGACGTCATCTGAACAGAAGATCAAACTTAGCCGTGATGTCCAATGACTTATCAAGGACTCCCAATGTCACTCTGGAGCTCTCGTCTAGCCCCACTTGCACTGGAATGGATTCAGCCTTAGGATACTCCTGAGCAATTCCCACAACAATCCCAAAAGGCAAACTTGAAGGCCATGGAGCCTGTGTCACTCTCCCCATCAGGAACTGCAGCCACCACCCCCAAGTCACTGGTTGCTCAACTGCCTCCTCAGACCTGCCCCTATCCTTTGGAAAGCACAGACATAGCTCATGGCCCAAACTTTGGTTGCCCACCAGCCTCCAGGCAAGTGGCAGACCGGGGGTCAGAGCCAACAGGGCGCCAGAGCAGGGATACACGGCCAGGCACCGATCACTCAGGGCTTGGAGCACCGCTCTGCAGGAAGCCACATGCAGCCACTAGCAGAGTCCTGCCACCCTTCAGCAGCTTCTCTGCTGCCAAACCTGAGGCAACAAGAAGCCCAAGCCTCCTGAGAAGCCAAGGTTTTTGCTGGTTCCTTACCTAGGCCTTTCAGGAACCTATTGACTCCACTTTGCTCCCCGCTGGGAAGTGTTTCCAGGTACTCCTGAGCCCGTACCTCAAAGAGACCTGTGGAAAGAAAGAAGTCAACAACTCAGAGACCTGCATCTGTTTAGCCTGGAGAAGAGAAAACTGAGAGGGGGATCTCATCAGTGCTTATAAATATCTAAAGACTGGGTGTCAAGAGGACTCTTTTCAGTGGTGCCTGGTGACAAGACAAGGGGCAACAGGCACAAGCTGGAACACAGGAAATTCCACCTCTTTACTTCTTTACTTTGAGGGTGACAGAGGCTGCCCAGAGAGGTTGTGGAGTCTCCTTCTCTGGAAACATTCAAAGCCCACCTGGATGTGTTCCTGTCCAACCTGCTCTAGGGGAACCTGCTTTAGCAGGGGGCTTGGACTAGATGATCTCCAAAAGTCCCTTCCAACCTCTACCATTCTGTGATTCTATTTTGTTTCCCTATAAATAAAAGTAAGAAGGCCCATCTGAAAGTATACTGTTCTGGCTCACTGATAAA